TGTGTTTTAACCAAAAGCATATGGCAGGTACCATGATAAGGAAGGAGTAACAGAGCATTCTCTAGGAGATAGTTGAAAGGAACTGAATCATGTATTATAACATTATAAATGTCTCTCATTGTTTTATATATATAATTTGTATTCATATTATATGAAATAATTGTCCCTACATCCAATGCTTCTTTTTAAATAAGAGATGCTTTTAAGAACAATTTGAATGTCTGATACATTTTTCACAAAGTCTTATTTCATGATGGAAGGCATCGATATAGCAGGTTCTGGTAATTTAAGTCCCTATTCAACTTTTTGGAGGAGTTCAGAGCTTTAGAATAACCAGCAGTACAGCAGGATATAATCATTTTTGCTCCTAAATAAGCACATTTAAGAGTAGAGGCAGAAGTAATTCATATTATTATGGCTACATTAAGTAAAAACTATAAGACATTTGCAATTGGAGTCTTGAACTTCCTGTTAGAAAAAGTTAAAAAGTTAAATTGGTTGCAGATCACGTAAATCATATTAGATTTTACTCCATTCTCCATTGTAATCTACTTTGACTCTATAAGTCCAAGGGAAATTGCTTCATAATTATTATTTGCCCCCACCAGTCCCACACACACATTCAATGTTTGAAAACTATACTTGATTGTATTTATATATTACATACACTTTATTTAAATTTATGGTATATAAATAATTTATATATGCAAATTAATAAATGCAAATATCTATGCATAAGAACGCTAGCTACAGTTAAAACTGTAAAAATTCCAGTGAAAAGAGCCACACCATAGCTAACTAAAATGCGTTAATTTAGTTTATATTATACTTCTAAAACCAAAGCTAACCTTTTGCTCCTGAGAGAAATCTTACCTTGAATAACACTCTCAAGGTTTATTAAGAAATAAAACTCCCCTTATATTTCCATGCATTCAAATTCCATTGAAAATATTCATGGTTAGGTAAATCTTTTCACTATTAGCCCCTGACAGCAAGTCATAGCAGCTTACTTATTTGAATAAATTAATGTCAGAATACATTAGAACTAGAAAACTACTTCATTAATGGTCTTCTTCATTCCAAGTGACTTTGTTTTCTATTAAGTCTCATTCTCCAAATGCAGGCCCTAATATGAAGATTCATATGCAAGTGCTTATTGCAGAAGTGCTTTCATGTAAAACCAGAAAGGAAGTGGAGAAAACAAGACAAGAATGGAAAGCAACACATCATATGAGATATCAACCCATGCGTCAGCCAGTTCCCTAAAGCTCTGGAGTTTAAACTGGACCCAGAGTTAAGGCCCTACTGGAAGCACAAGAGCAAGGCTTTCCTACTTCAGTACCTGCACCTGAGGATAAAATAGACTCCCACACCATTTGTAGAAAAGTAGCTCCAGTGTCCATATAATAAAATTGTGAAGACAGATATTTTACAGACCTTTAAGAAGCAAATGTAAGCTGCAGGCATAGCCCAAAGAAATATCAGAAGGGACCCAAGAGTACTTGAGCAGAAGATTAATTGTAACTGTTACACATTTTAAAAGTAATTTATACTATATTTTTTACACTTGTGTATGATCGGTAATCATTCCTATAATTTAAAGTGTTATGGTTTATTAATTTTTTTTTATTTTTTTTTGACAGGCAGGGTTAGAGAGAGGGAGAGAGAAAGAGAGAAAGGTCTTCCTTTGCCATTGGTTCACCCCCCAAATGGCCACCACGGCCAGCGCATTGTGGCCAGCACACTGCGCCAATCCAAAGCCAGGAACCAGATGCTTCCTCCTGGTCTCCCATACCGGTGCAGGGCCCAAGCATTGGGCCATCCTCCACTGCCTTCCTGGGCCACAGCAGAGAGCTGGACTGGAAGAGGAGCAACCGGGACAGAATCCAGTGCCCCAGCCAGGACTAGAACCCCAGGGTGCCGGCACCACAGGCAGAGGATTAGCCTAGTGAGCCGCAGCACAGGCTGGTTTAATTTTTAAAAATTTATTTATATAAAGGGAATCATATATATATATTATATGTAGCTTTAAGACATTATGATACTTCCCACCCTCCCTCCCTCAATACTACCCTCTCCCTCCTTCCTTTCTTAATTTTCTTTTAATTTTTGTAATAGCATACTTTCAATTTATGTTATTATCACACGCTTAATCCTCTACTCAATAAAGAATTTTACAAGTAGTAGCAGAGAGATCACTGTTGCTCAGGAGTATAGACAAGGATTATAAACAATAGTCAAATCTCAACTTGAAAATTCATTCACCCACATTATATTTCTATATGCCATATCATAGTTATCAGAAATCAGAAAAAATACATTTGTCTCTTTGAGACTGGTTTATTTCATTAAAGTTGTATCTATTTTGTTGTGAAAGGCAGGATTTCATTCTTTTTTATGACTGAGTAATATTACATCATGTATATATACCACGTTTTCTAGTCATCAATTGGTGAACATCTGGGTTTATTCCATATCTTAGCTATTGTGAGTTGAGCTGCTATAAACATGGGGGTACAGATAAATCTTTCATATGTTGATTTAATTGGTTTTGGGTAAGTTCTAACAAGTGAAATAAATTGTAGATCTATTTTCAGATTTCTTTTGAATGTACATACTGTCTTCTATAATGGTTATACAAGTTTACACTCCCACCAATAGTATATTGGGGTACCCTTTTCTCCACATCCTCACCAATATTTGCTACTTTTGGATTTTTGGTTAATAAAGAATCTAACTGAGGTGAGATAAAACTTCATTGTGTTTTTTATTTGTATTTCCCTGATGGATCATGATCCTGTGCATCTTTTAATGTGTCTATTGGTCATTTGTATTTCATCCTTGGAAAATTGCCTGTTCGTATCCTTAGCCCATTTCTAAACAGGATTGTTTGTTTTGTTGTTGTTGAGTTTCTTGAGCTCCTTATATAATCTGAATAATAATCCTTTATCAGATGTATAGTTTGTAATTATGTTTTCCCTTTGTGTCGGTTGCCTCTTCACTTTATTGAGTGTTTCCTTTGCAGGGCAGAAGCTTCTTAGCTTTATATAATCCCATTTGTATTTTTTTTTAACTTTTATTTAATGAATATAAATTTCCAAATTACAGCTTATGGATTACAATGGCTTCCCCCCCATAACTTCCCTCCCACCCGCAACCCTCCCCTTTCCCTCTCCCTCTCCCCTTCCATTCACATCAAGATTCATTTTCAATTTTCTTTATATACAGAAGATCAGTTTAGCCTATATTAAGTAAAGATTTCAACAGTTTGCACCCACATAGAAACACAAAGTGAAAAATACTGTTTGAGTACTAGTTATAGCCTTAAATCACAATGTACAGCACATTAAGGACAGAGAGCCTACATGGGGAGTAAGTGCACAGTGATTCCTGTTGTCCATTTGTGTATTTTTGCTTTTACTGCCTGTGTTTCTCAGGTCTTTATAAGAAGTCTTTGCTTACACATGTGTATTACTGAGTTTTCCTGTTTCCCTCTAGTAAGTTTATGGTTTCAAGTGTTAAGTTTAGATCTTTGATCTATTGTGAGTTGATTTTTATATGGTATAATTTAGGGTCTTGCTTCATACTTCTGCATGCAGAGATCTAATTTTCCCAGTGAAATTTGTTGAAGAGACTGTCCTTTCTCCAGGAAGAGATACTTGGTCATTTGTCAAGGACTAGTTGGTTGTAAATGCATGGATTAATTTCTGGGGTTTCTAATCTATTCCATGTCTGGTTTTGTGTCAATACAAGGCTGTTTGGATTATAAGTGCCCTGTAATATGTCTTAAAATCTGGTATTTTGATACCTCTGGCTTTGTTTTTTTTTATAGTTTAAGATTGCTTTGGCCGGCACTGCGGCTCACTAGGCTAATCCTCCGCCTAGCGGCACCGGCACACCGGGTTCTAGTCCCGGTCGGGGCACCGGATTCTGTCCCGGTTGCCCCTCTTCCAGGCCAGCTCTCTGCTGTGGCCAGGGAGTGCAGTGGAGGATGGCCCAGGTGCTTGGGCCCTGCACCCCATGGGAGACCAGGAAAAGCACCTGGCTCCTGGCTCCTGCCATCGGATCAGCGGGTGCGCCGGCTGCAGCGCGCCGGCCGCGGCGGCCATTGGAGGGTGAACCAACGGCAAAGGAAGACCTTTCTCTCTGTCTCTCTCTCTCACTGTCTGTAACTCTACCTGTCCAAAAAAAAAAAAAAAGATTGCTTTTTCAACTTGGGGTCTCTTGTGTTTTCATACATCTACATGTTTTTATAATTTTGATTCATTATCATGTATTTGAAAGGCAGAGTGAGAAAGACTAGAGAGAGAGAGAGAGAGAGAGATTGATTCTCTATTTGTTGATTCATCCCAAAATGTCTGTAACAGCTTCTCTAGGCCAAGCCAGGATCCCAGAACTGCATGTTATTCTCCCACATGGAGGCCAGGAAGGGACCCAAGCACTTGAGTCATCATCCATTTCTACCAAGAGTACATGTTGGTAGAATGCAGGAATGAAAGCAGAAAAACTGGGATTCCAATCTGTACTCTGATATGTGATGTGAGTGTACCACACAGCTGCTTAATCACTGTGCTGCTACATAGTCCCCACCACTAAACATTTGCTACAAGTGTTCTTAATATTCACCAAAAGTATACTGTTTACAAAATATACAAAGTCAGATATATGATGCCATATGTAAGTATTCCCAGGTTTTCTAGGGAAGTATAAAAAAGAAAAATAAAATTTAAGCAGAGTAATTTTCATCTATTGATTAAAAAACTGAATTTTACTTCTCTAAGGTTTCCCTAAAAACATTGTTTGCAATAAGGATTGTGTTATTATATGACCATTCCAGGTCATGAACTGTGAGAACCAGTCTATGAAGAGAATGACGGTTGATAATAAAAATTTACAAATTATTATAGCTTATTTTTGCACCAGTTGAATCAAATAGTGAAACTTGTACTGTGTGTTTTTTATTTCATTTTTGGTAATATGTTTATTTTCATTATATCTTACAGAAACATTGTTCTGCAACAGACTACAAAATAAATAAAATTCATCCAGCTTTTCCTTCAATAACTGCAACGTGAGTAGCACTCTTTCAGATTACCCAATGCTAAGTTTTATTCTCTTTTTCTTTATTAAACTTATTTCTACTATGTGTTTTTTTGCATTAATTTCCTAGGGCTGCCATAACAAAGTACCAGAACAATGGATTACTTTAAAAGCAGAAATTTATGTTATCAGAGTTCTTAAATCCAGAAGTCTGAAATTAAGATGTAAGGCATGGACATGTGCTCTCTAAAGACTGCAGGAAAAAATCTTTCATCGGCTCTCTCCTAACTTCTGGTGGCCCCATGCTTTCTGTAACATATGACTTTGCTGATACTACATTTGAACAAAGATAGGAAGAATGTGAGGGGATTCTTCAAATTTCTCATGTCTTTGACTCAATTTGGCCAGACTTCAAGAAGAGTGGTAGCACTGGAAATAAACAAGCCTGCTTCTGGGTCGGATGGAAATACTATATCCTGATCATATTCGTGTTTATATGGTGGTATACAACTGTGAAAACTCATAGAACTGTGCACCTGAAAAGAAAGAATTTTCCCACATATACATTATAGCTCCACCAGCCTATGTTTAAAAATAAAATGCCCATTTGGACTATATAATCATTAATAAAACGACAGCTTTAGGAATCTAGCAGCAGGAATTCTTTGATTTTTTATTCTTCTGTTTTACTATTAATATGCCTTAAGGATTTCTCTTTTGTCTACTATTTTCTGTTGAAGCTGACTTTCAAGTTAACTTTTGTGCTTCTTATTTCAAACTCCTGATTGGATCAGTTAATAACTTTTTTCCATATTTGTTTAGAAGGTTTTGCCCTGCAAGAAGGTGTAGATAGATCTCCTATCCCAATCAGTTGCATTGTAATGGGTTAAACACACACACACATCATGGATGCCAAAAACAGCTTCCTATAAAGGACTGAGGATGATTATTTTACTTAGAAACAGCTGTAGTCATGGCAGGCACTGAAATTAACATGTTCAGTGCACTAATGGGTTTTTAGATCACACTGTTTCTTTTAGTAAAACATAGATTAAGCTGAAGATCTAGCTAACAGCCTTGTCATTTTTGTAAAGTCATGTTTTTTTCTATGATCAATCTTCCAGAATTTGTACGTCCTTTCCGTTGATGTCTGCTATAGAACTTTGATTGACAAAGCTTGGGGGTTTTTCATTAGATGAGAGAGTATTAAATCACTGGTTAAGATGCAGAAACTTTCAGTTTAGGTGGCTGATGTATTACAGAGAAACAAAACCAAACTCAGTTGCAGGTATAGCCTAGTAACATATAAATTAAAGTTTAATGCATATTTATTAATATGTCCTATACCAAAAATGAGAAGTAGCTATCACTTAGGATTTTGATTATTGAGTAATTGAGAGCATATTTTTCAAACCTTAGTTCTTTAACTTGTTTTGCAAAGAAGGCTTACTTTTCCTCTATATCAGTGGATTTAAAAAATAAGAAATATATAATTTCAAACTGCTATTTTGTTTGCAAGGCAAGGAAAAATGAGTTTAAATTGTATTTTTCATCTATTCAACAAACATGATTTAAATTTATGCTTTGTGTAGGTGCTGTGATGGTGATGGCAGGCACAGTTTCTGCCCTCTCCTGGGATGCATCTAGTGGGAGAGACTGATAAGTAAGTCACTATACAAATTGAAATTCGATATGCTGTAGGAGTACCGAAGATGGAGCAATCAATTCTGACTTAGTGGGAAAAGGAATACTTTTGAATTGGGTCTTAAAACATGAGTGGGATTTCAGAAGGGAGAAATAGAAAAACAGCATACCAGATGGAGGTAGAGCTATAAACAAAGGCAAGAAATAATATGCATTTTAAGGGAAAGGAAGTTAATCTAATATGCCTCACATGAAATATATACAAGGTAGGAAGAAATATGTATCTATAGAGAATTTAAGTCATATATTGAAAGCATTAATCCTCCCTGTTGATAGCTGTCATTCATTTATGATCATCTGCTTTGTGTCTCCCTTCTCCATTGCATTCTATCTCAATGAGGAAACTCTCAGCATCTTTTTCCAACACCTTATCTCCAGAGCTTAGCACTAAGCCTTGCACATATTATGCAACTATCATCTGTAAATATACTATTAATATTAAGTTCATGTTTTGTTGAGTTTTTTTTTTTTGAAGATTCATTTCCTTATTTGGAAGTCAGAGTTCAAGAAAGAGTTTGAGAGTTCAAGAGAAAGAGAGAGAGAGAGAGAGAGAGAGAGAGAGAGAATCTTGTATCTGCTTCGTCTTTCCCAAGATGGCCACAACAGCCAGGGCTGGGCCAAGCCAAAGCCAGGAGCTTCATCTGTGTTGTCCATGTGGGTGGTAGAAGCCCAAACAGTTGGGTTATCTTCCACTGCATTTCCCAGATCATTAACAGAGAGCAGGATCAGAAGTGGAGCTGCTCCGACACAAACCTGTGCTCATACGTGATGCTTTCCAAGGTGCAGCTTTACCCAACTTTCAACCATGTTGAAAGTTTTTAATTATCCTATGTGTCATTTAAAATAGCCAATAATGCAGAAAGAAATACTTATGAAGAAAGAGGTGAAATAGTTGACCTCATGCTTCAGAAAGGTCCTGTAAGACTCATAAAATGTATTTGATAAGAATCAGGATAAACCAGAGATAAAAAAAAATCAGTCAGATGCATTGCAGCCTGCAACTGAGAAATGCTGGGTAGGTGGGATGAAAATTGGTAAGATCACCTAAATTTAAAAGTCCCAGTAGAAATGGAAGGATTGGGAATGTAATTTGATGTGAGGGGTGAGGTGTTATACTTCAGTGACAACACTGAAGGTAGTGTGTGTTTGGGCATGTCATTTGATCTCCTGGAAAGATCTGAGTCAGAGAAAAAATTTAGTAAAATATCAAAAAGGAAGATACAAACATCTCAATTATTGAGGAATAACTTGAATAAAATTAATTGCTTCAAGTTATTCCTCACCAAACTAAAGAGAAAACATGAATAGTAATCTATAAGGGCTATTTGTAAATTAAAAGTAAAACCTAAAAATAAGTATCTGGATTTTTGTGTTGTATATTTTATATTTGAGTAGCATCAATAGAATCTTAAGATTTTTTATAATAAATTTAGGTCATGCTTAAGCAATTTTTCTTTCAATCACCATAACTTGGTAATGAAGTATGTTACACAGGAGGAATTGTCATCACATTGTACCACGACTTGATATTTCTTCATGATAGTGGGTCTGTAAGTGTAATATGTTGGCCAATCTCATTAATATCCTCTGTGAAGTTACTAGAAATACAAATCTCAGGCTCCAGACATACTGGTAGATTTGAAGGTGAGGCTCAGCAATCTGTGTTTTAATGATTCCTCTCCATGATTCTGATATATGCTTAAATCAGAAAATCACTGCTCCTTAGTGTTATGCTTGCCTAATAATGAGGACATCATGTTTCTAAATATGTTCATACTTCACCATCAGGGAGGTTCTGTAAAATTGTGTAAGGATGGTCACTGAATACAGCAATTGTGCTGTGCTGTTGGGAAACTTTGCAGATTGCAATGAAGGTGGTCTCAGATGTGTTTCAGTGTAATTATCATAATCTGTATGTAGAGATGATTGATGTTAGATTTAAACACACTGAGAATAGTTTCATCTTTGTCGTATACTTCTGCTATTAGGGACGTCAATGTGACTATAGAGGAAAGAGATGGCTTAGATGTTTCACCCATAGACATCAATTAGGGTGAATGAATGAGAGAAACCATAGAGACCTGAGTTGGAGGGTCAGGTCAGTAGTAAGGAATCCCGGAACATTAAGGCAAAGGTTTATGGGAACTATTTAGTGGACCCAAGGATGGCTGCTCTAAACTCATCTATTCCCTGAGGCTGAAAGGCCAGTTACTTTCCTATTCCACTTATACAGACAAGTACTTATAATTTATATCTTGTTTAATTTTAAAAAAGCTTTATTGGTCCATGCTGACACATATATAAATGACATACAAATGAATAGCTGTATAATTGATTTGACTCTATTTCTAGGAAGGGTTTGTTCTACGTCTGTGATTGTATAGATAAAAGGGGGTAACTGAAATCTTTATCATAATCAACTCCTGCAATACCCAGACATGAATACATGTGTTTGCACACATACTTGCACAGAAATACATAGACACATACATATTTTGCAGTTATTATCAGTAAAAAGGACACATGATTGGAATCTCTATTTAATGCCTTTTTTAAAGATTTATTTATTTATTTATTTGAAAGAGTTACACAAAGAAGGAGAGGAAGAGATGAGAAAGAGGGAGAGAGAGGTCTTCCATCCTCAGGTTCATCCCCAGTTGAACACAATGGCTGGAGCTAGACCCATCCAAAGCCAGGAGCCAGGAGCCTCCTCCAGCTCTCCCATGTGGTTGCAGGGGCCCAAGGACTTGGGCCATCTTCTAATGATTTCCCAGGCTGCAGCAGAAAGCTGGATCGGAAGAGGAGCAGCTAGGACATAAATTGAGACCCATATGGGATGCCAGCTCTGCAGGTGGTGGCTTTACCCACTACACCATGGCACTGGCCCCTATTTAATACCTTTTAAATAAATCAATAAACAAACCAACCAGAAAGGAAGCCTGCCATCTTCCATAGAACTTTTAAAAACTGCCTATTGTGTCTTTTCAAGTTGCCGCTATATTAAACATGAATGAAATATGGGTTTCTAAATGAAATGCAGTTCCAAAGAACAGAATGAATCCAATATTAAAACAGTCATTTATTCAATACATTGTTTTCTATTGAGAAACAGCTGCTAGAAGGGTTATGTGCACTTGAGAACTTAGGTTTTTGAGGTTGCCTCATATCATGTAGAGTTTCAAAGAAGTAATTCTATTTCCTATTTTGCTGTGTTCCACGAATCAAAGAAAACATCAGAGATGATTTCATTCAGAGTGACATAGGTGACTGTCAATGGGCTATTATTTGAGAAGTAATAAATACTTTCTACTGCATTGTATCTACATCAGAGTCTGCCATAAGCTCAGAAATCCACAAATTCTGAAATTAAAATGAAGGTTACATGGAACAAAAATATTGAAGGATATTTTCTTAAACTGATTTATCAGGCAAAATCTGTAGGAAATAGAATAGGGAAAACAAAAACATTTAGTGGTGAAAGGGAAAACATGAGGAAATGAAATTCCTTAGTAGAGGAAGCAGAGTGAATGGGTAAACCACAGATGTATCAGTTAACAAACTTTACTTAGCAGCAGTTATGCATCAGGACATGATGTGTTATCTGCTAGGGTTACAGTAGTAAAAAATCAAGACCAACTCTTGTTCTCTAGAAGCCTAAAGTAAATCTAGAACAGGAGTCACAATAGGAAGAAGTAGGGTTGTAATTTTCACTAATCTCATGACTGATCACAGAAGTAGTTGGTGAGGTAAACTTTGGAGTAAGAGTTTGAATGAAACTAGGGCTCTTAGCTAACCAGATGTCAGGGGAAAGTGTCCTCTAGGTTAACAGAATTAGAAGCGCAGGGGCAGACGTTTGGCACAGTGTAAGATGCCTGGGTTCAGGTCCCAGCTCTGCTTCGGATTCCAGTTTCCTATTAATTGTACTCTGGGAAGGCAGCTGGTGGCTTATGTAGTTGGGTCATGGCCACCCACTTGGGAGACATGGATTGAGTTCATGGCCTTTGCCTGCAACCTAGCCTAGTACTCACTCTTGTTTGGCATTTGGGGAGTGAACCAGTGGATGGGAGTTCTCTTTCTCCCTTTTAGATAAAATAAAAATTTAAATAAATAAATTTATTTGATAAATCTTCAATGTCTTTGAAACAGGGGCATGGTACATATTTTCATGGCACTTGCCCAAGGAGTTCCAAATGCCTAGGTATAAAATAATAAGAAATAAGCCAGTTGAATACGGAGTTGATGATTGGTAAGAGGACTGATCATATTGGATCTTTTAAGTCACAAGTCTGTTGACTTTGACCTAGATGAGCAGCTAGTGGAGTGGTTTTGCATAGAAGCATCATGATCTCATTTATATTTTAAGAGAATCGCTCTGCTGTTTTAAAAATAGATTGCAGGGGTCAAGGGGTTAGGAGGCAGAATATTTAGCAAGCTAATGACATAAAGCAAGCTAAAGAAGACATTGGCAGAGTGAATTATTATGAAGTGGTTAATACAGGTAAATGTACAAATGTAAAGTTCAAAACTAATGTAGCCTGGAAATACAAATTGACCATCTACATAAGTTAAAGCTACAGTATAGATTTGGATAGTTCTATACATAGGAAAAATCCTAACTATGATTAGAAGATGAGCAAGGGGGATGAGAAAGAATCACTAAGAGAACTGGAGGAATCACTAGAAACATTGCCAAATCCCAGTTAAGCAGATGTCCTGGGAGACACAAAGAACATTGCATGGTACAAAGAGTGATGAAGTGTACAAGAGCCCTGATGAGAGGAGCATAGGGAGGAATGTAGGTGCGGTTCACTTAACAACATTTGATTCTGAATGTCTGTGGACAGATGTAAGAATGACAAAGAGAGTGATAAATTCATGATAAACCGGAAATTACCTTTGACCCTTTAAATCCATTTTCTCTCTCTCTCTGATTACTCTTCTTGAATATTAACGTTTAAA